TTTTATTTTTAATGTAATATATTTTTATTGATTTCTGAGAGGAAGGGAGCGGGAGAGTGACAGAAACATCATCGGTGAGAGAGAATCCCTGGTAAGCTGCCTCCTGCACACCCCCAAACTGGGTATCAAGCCCACAAAGATGCAAGCATTCCGCTTCAGCCATCTCTTCAGCGGAGAGCCTCTGGGAAGTGGGCCCAGAGTGGCTAGGCCCTACAGAAAGCAGAGAAACATGGGTAGTGGGCCTAAGATGTCAGGGCTTCCAGATTAAAAAGGACTCCTCTGAGGACTCCCAGAATGGAGAGGGTGCAGGTCAGGCTGAGGACCTAGCCCCTGTGCACGAATTTTGTGCACCAGGCCTCTAGTAAATTTATAATGAGAAACCAAAGAACATAACCGTATTTTATACCTTAACAGTAAGAATGTTCTTTGTCAAGAGAGCCATTCCTGGCCCATTTTATTTTCTTAACATTGCTTTGACTAGAATTCTGATGGTATCTTCAAATGCTTGAGATAAATTTTGAGATCATAAAAGCAATCTAGCCTATAAATGGCCCCCTTCTGGGAAGTCAAAGACTAAGGGCAGATCACTGAACGCTATGAAAAGTGTTACATTGCTCTTCATAATTGTTGTGGTTAGGTAAAACATAGTAGATCAAATAGTTAAGGATTGACTAATGCCCATTGATTTCATAAGTGGTTTATTAGAGTGAGAATCACCTGTAACCAGTGTATCCGGAAAGAATATGGAAACATTTGAAAAAAAAAAAAAAAAAAAAAAAAAGCTCAGCTAATTTATAAATATCTGCCAAAGAGCAGTTTGGGATTTGGCCTTTTAGAAAAATAATGAATATACATTGCTCCTGGGAAAAATTTTACATATGATGAACAATTCTGCAAACATTAGGGCAAGGTTGGAGGTTCTGAATTAAATTATCTTAATCAGAGCATTTTTTAGTTTTGGAAAGTTGATTAGCTACCTTATCTGGAGTCATTGGACTCCAACTGGGCAGAACTCTAAAAATATAATATTATTAAAAGAATTGAGGGGAGCCCAGCTGGCATGGCTCAGTAGTTGAGCATTAACCTATGAACCAGGAGTTCAATTGATTTGATTCCCAGTCAGGGCACATGCCTGGGTTGTGGGCTCGATCCCCAGTGTGCGGGCATGCAGGTGGCAGCTGATCAATGATTCTCTCATCATTGATGTTTCTATCTCTCTCTTTCTCTCTGAAATCAATAAAAAATATATTAATTAAAAAAAAAAAAAAGAATTGAGGGGGGTTTTGAGACCAGATCTATTCTTTCACTGAGTCATATCAATAGATCTATTTTTTCACTGAGTCATATAGACTAGATATATTCTTTTACTGAGTCATATCTTGCTTTATATTTAGGTAATTGTAAAGCAATAGCTTTCCACTGATATGTTTCATAGTCTAGTTTTTAATGAAAAGGAAATGAAAGAGTTTCTTTTAAAACTTACTTTAATTCTTTTTTTCCCTAGTTGAGTCTTATAAATACCAATTAAAGGCATACTGTTAGTGGTCACAACGTCCTATCTCTCTGCCACCCACACCCTGAGCATGCAAATCAGGTTTTAAGTCATCACTAGGAAGATAGAGAATAATTAAATTTTTAATTCCCTGATTGAAAGCACAGAAGCAAATGTCACACTCTTAAAATCATAAGCGGTTACTTATGCTCTTCCTGTTAAACACCTGCAACATTCTCATTCATTCATTCAATAGTTTACTGAGTGTCATCTGTGCTATTATTTTTGTGTGAAGTCAAGTTTGCAGGAAATAGTATTAAGTTGATTTAGACAGGAATTTACCACTCAAAAATAGATATTCACCTTGTAGCTGGAAAAAAACAAACAAAACAGAAGCTATTATCATCAATGGTAGGACAGAGAGTCCAGTAATGTCGCACTTAGATTTACGCCACACTCAATATTTAGACACTGAGAAATTGTGGAAATGCATAAATTAGGTCAGATGTTTACTTCTTGGTTTAGCTTGACTGTCTACAGATATATGGTCCCAATAAGAAAATGATCTTCTCAATCCAAATATTCCATGAGCAAGGCTTTAATAGGGCCATTAATAACTCAGCAACTGGCCCCAGGTGATTGATGACTGTGCCTGTCAGAGTGGATGAATTATAGGAGCTCTAGAGACAATCAGGTGGGGCCCTGGCAGGCACTACACACACTCATGTGTGTAAACATCAATATGAGCACTATGTACATCGTGACGTTCTTCTGTCAGGTAGATAAATCAGGATGGAGATGCTTGAACTTGACTATTTGAAATTAGCCTCCAATACTAACCAATGTCAAAATAGCCAGCATACTTCTGCCTCTTCTAAACCTAGGTAGTCCCAAAAAGTGGTATCACATTTGGACCTATAATGTTAAAGGCCAAAAGGGGAGACAGTTACAGTTTATTAAATTAATTATGTAAGTTATTGCTGAGCACTCTTTATAGTAGACTTAGTATATAAATATTGGACAAGTACCAAATGCTAGCTTTGTGAGGTTGGGAATGGAATTGTGATAGAGGACAGATTTGATTCTAGGGATTTTCCTGTTATAGTAGGAGTTCCTTAATCACAAGTAGCACCAAAAATAAATAAATAAATAAATAAATAAATAAATAAATAATAAGTAAATGGAAACAAAGAGTTTCTAAAATATTATGAAAGGCCTTATTTCCGCCAACTTCCTTTATAGAAATAGTGCTTATGAAACCAATGGACAAAAAACTCTAGGGGGGGAGGGCATCTATGGGAGTGGTGGTGGGATGGAAAGATATGTACACATATAATACCTTAATTAAAAAATAGTGCTTATGTTTCTCTAGAAAACATTTCAGAAGGAATAGACTCTTTCTAAAGGCATTGTTGGATATTAGCATATGTTACCTTTAATTCACTAAATAATCCCTGAAGATTTCACAGAGAAAATCAAATTCCATAAAAACAAAATGGAAAATTCATGAAAGTCAGCTTTACTAAGAATGGCACTAGTCCCTCTGACAGCCCTGATCTCCCTCCAAGGTCTGTAACTGAGGGATGACTGCTACCTGTGTGCACATAATGTACAGACTTCGGAGAGGGTTTCACATAGTTATTGTTTACGTCAAGGAATCCGGTTGAAAGGTAACTATTGAATAGTTTCTTGTTTGCTCCAGAGTTCCATTCTGTAATTTTACCCTATTTTCCAACAATGCACAAATGTTAGATTGAACTATTTTGGCAGGAAATACTTGGGTATAAATTTAGACTTCTCTTACTAAACAACAAAATTTTAATCCATGGTGATTTTTTTCTACTTTAATAGTAGAAACCTTTCTATATTATGTTCCTTTAATGAGAAATTATTTTATGGAAATGCTTTACAATTTCTATTTACAAATTTAGTGACCAAGAAATATCACAGGTAATAACATCTAAAGGACTTTTCTATGTGTTTGCCAAATACTGAAACAAATTAAAAAATAGCTTAAGGGAAAATAAAATTCTCAGTGTCTTAATTAAATTATGTGTAGAGCTATTTGAATGTCAAAATACATGAGCTGTTGCCTTTAAATCTAGGCCCCAAACTTACTTTTGAAAGAAATTCAGAACAGTGTGTACATTTCCACAAAGCAAGATTATTATTATTTGTATTTATTTTTATTTTTTGCTCACTGTAATTACTGTCAAAAATGAAGATTGCTTAAAGAAAGAATTAGTGGCTAATAGAAATGAAGCAATGTTGAAAACATTTAATTGAAGATAGATTTGATGATTTTATAACAAAAAAAACCTCCAGCAATTCTGACCTCTTACCTCTACTAAGAATTACAGAAGTTTCCTTACAAAGATCTCTTTTCTAAATCAAAATACAAATTTTGTGGGGCTTGTTCTGTTCCTCAGAGAATTTTGCAATACTTGTCCTTCTTCCTTCCAAAATAAGTTATTCTTTTGAGAATTATACAAAATGTGATTCTATATATCTCCAGGTTCTATGTCTTTGCACATGTAGGATAGCCATATTTATTAATTTCTTTAAAAGGTCAATAAGAAGATTCATAGAAAAGGGTAGCCTGTACCATGCAAACAATATAAATGGAAATAATGATTTTTTCTTTGTTAAATGTTGCTCAACTGTTTGTTTGTTTTTAACCAAATCCAGGGAATTGTTATCTCAAAGGCTGCTATTCATGTTTAATATACAAATATAAAGAACTGCACTCATATAGCTAAAAGTTAACTGCAATTAATTCTTAGTCTTTATATTTTACAATTAAACTCCCCTTTCACTGTTCTCTGGTTCTTAGCTTATTACTACTACTACTACTATTATTATTATTATTATTATTATTTTGTCATTCATTATCTTAACAAGAAATGAGATAAAGAAGAGTGTTGTTATCACTTGTCAATTTTGCTATCATGTTTTAAAGCAGCTTTGCTGAAATGCCCAGAATAACGTAAATGAAAATTAATTGCAAAACCAATGTTTTTAAAGTATGTTTTTAATGGTTTTCTGAGAGAAGAAAGCAGAAGGAGATAGAAACATCAAGAATGAGAGAGAATGAATGACCTGCTGCCTCCTGCACACCCTCCACTGGGGATCGAGCCCACAACCTGGGCATGTGCCCTGACCGGGGAATCAAACCATGACCACCTGGTTCATAGGTTGATGATGCTCAACCCCTGAGCCACCTTGGTTGGGCAAAACCAATGCTTTTTAAAGGGGCCCCGTACATTTGATATATCTCTGTTATCTCTGTTCTTTGCGGAGGACCCACAGTCCTTTGTAATATGCAGAAAGTGGAATGCCTAGCCTCAGGGCAGACAGACATGGAATTCTGTTTCTCTTTGCAGAAGCCTTCTCATGTTTTTATGACATCGGTACTTACACTATGTAATATAAATGACTACAATACATTGGTAGTATTCTTGACTATTTAAACATTTTGATAAGTACTGACTTTATATTTTCGTCCCAGATTTTCCACATGACCTATGACTTGGCCAGCGCAGTGGTGCGCATCTTCAACCTCATCGGCATGATGCTGCTGCTGTGCCACTGGGACGGCTGCCTGCAGTTCCTGGTGCCGCTGCTGCAGGACTTCCCCTCCGACTGCTGGGTGTCGCTCAACAAGATGGTCGTAAGTCCCTCCTGTTATGTCCCACTCCGCATTTGCCATGCCCTACCAACAAGCTATCTGTTTCTGTTAGAATGACCTCATTTCCCCGCACCAATGTTCAGAGAAAGCTTCCTTTTGCTTCCATGGATGGAAAATCAGATGTTATGCTTCTGTTCTACAACAAAATTTCATCTACGTGAAATGTTCCTGGGGGTGTACCAGAATATGTTACAGCCTCTATGTTTAGATATCTTACTCTGGTATCTTGAGGCATTTTATTTCATAGGTACAGGTACAAACATGCACACAAATAACCATAGTGCAGCATTCCTTTCAAATGCCTATTCTTGCGCTAACCGCTCTGGCTCAGTGGATAGAGCATTGGCCTGCGGACTGAGGGGTCCCAGGTTTGATTCCAGTCAAGGGAACGTGCCTGGGTTGTGGGTTCGATCCCCAGTGTGGGCTGTGCAAGAGGCAGCCAATCAATGATTCCCTCTCATCATTGATATTCTCTCTCTCTCTCTCTCTCTCTCTCTCTCTCTCTCTCTCTCTCTCTCTCCTTTCTCTCCTTTCTCTCCTCCATTCTGAAATCAATAAAAATAATAATAATAAAAACAAATAAAATGCCTACTCTGTGGCTCAGTTGTTTGGGCATCTTCCAGTGCACCAAAAGTCTGACAGTTTGATTCCCAATCAGGACACATGCTCCGGTTACAGACTCGATCCCTGATAAGCAACATGATGTTTCGTTCTCACATCGATGTTTCTGTCTCTCCCTCTCTCTTCCTCTAGCTCAAATTCAGTGCCTACTTAAATGCCTACTCTTTAGAATAACTTCTTTCTTTCAACTTGATTTTAGCATTTACAATACTTATGACATTCAATTCTAGGCATTCTTAAACATACAGAGACATGTGTCTTAGTATAAAAGCAAATGAGCTGGTTATAAGGTGCAATGATATTTCAAACAGTAATTTTTTCTCGGGAAAACTTCATGGCAAAGGTAGCATTTAAACTTTGCCCTAAAAGATATGAAAATACCTTTAAAGTATGTGAAGTATACATTTGATGTGTGAAGTGAAATATAACCGTATTCACATTAAGTCTAACAGTATATGTTTTGCTCTAAATAGTGCAAACTCAAAAAAGAAGTGAAGCAATAGTGAATATTTTTCATATGTACATTTGTAAATATTTGTTCTACTTATGTTAGTTCTTATATTTCCTTCTAGCATTACATTTTATTTCTTCTGTGTTTTCAATTAAGCTTACTGGGGTAACATTGGTTAATAACATTACATATGAGTTTCAGGTATACAACTTTATAATACAGTAGAGGCCCGGTGCACAACATTTGTGGACACAGAGAGTGGGGGGGGGGGTCCTTCAGCCCCCTTTTACAGTCTGGGGGCCCTCGAGGGGTGTCTGACTGATGACTTAGGTCGCTCCCCACAAGAGACAGGCCTGAACTGCAGTCGGACATTCTTAGTGCTGCTGCGGAGGCAGGCCGCTATGCTGGCCAGTGGCTGAGCAGTGCTCCCCCTTGTGGAAGCACACTACCACCAGGGGGCAGCTCCTGCATTGAGCGTCTGCCCCCTGGTGGTCAGTGCATGTCATAGTGACCAGTTGTTTCGCTGTTTGGTCGATTTATATATTAAGCTTTTATTATATAAGATTACTTGTGTATTTAATTGTGTGCTCACTACCCAGTATAGTCTTCTTTCATAGCCTTGTATTTGACTGCCTTTACCCTTTTTATCCTTTCCCTTCCCCCCTCCTTCCCTGGTAACTATCATTTTGTTGTCTGTATCTATGAGTTTGTTTTCTATTTTTTTGTTTTGTTCATTCATTGCATTTCATTTTACATCCCACACTTGAGTGAAATCATATGGTTCTTGCCCCTATTCATCTGACTTATATTACTTAGCATGATACTCTCTTTCAAAATAACAATTTTCTTTATTAAAAGGGTATTTTTGGGTATCCATACAGTCCAAATAACTGTACAATTATAACATAGGGCAATATACTACTTATTATATTTAGTGATAAGCATATTTAATGAAGAAAATGGTAATGTTTGGTTTTCCTTTAGATTGTTCTCCTTTATGTGTGTGTGTTCTTTATGTGTGTGTATGTGTGTGTGTGTTTAATCTCACATCATCAAACCTTAATTATGGTCTAGTTGTTGTATAAAAGTGTGTTTCCTAAATTTACAGTTTGCTTCTTGTTTTTTTTTCTGATTGCAGGTTTAGTTGTGATTTGGATTAATTTTTTTTGCAATTACTTAGCATTATTTCTATGTTTAACTCAAACATAGCAGATGGTAAACATTTAAGTTGGTGTGAAAATTAATCTGAAATTGTAAATATTGGTTATAGGAAAGAGATAAAGCCATAAAAAAGGCATTTTTGTACCAATCGAGAATCTTAATGGTGTCATTTACCTTGGAGATATTATTCTGTCCTAAAGCTTTTGTGCTCTAGAAAACTTTCCATAAAAAAGTCATAAAGGAGAAGTGAAAATCTAATGTAAGAAAAAGTGCCCTACACTTGTATGTCATGGTTAATATACACAATATTCTCTCTTATTAGTCCTCACAGCAACAGAGAGGTAAGCACTGTCCTCCCCTATTTTTAGAAGTTAAACTAATTATCCAATGCCTCACCATGAGTATGGTTTCTAGAACCAAGGTTAGAATGCCTATCTATCTGATGCCACAGTCTCTGTTCTAAACCACACTAGAATGTCTTATATGGTACAGGTTACAAAGAACAGTTAGAAGTAATTGTGAAAGCCCAGTTAGCATGGCACAGTGAGTGAGTGGCAGCCTATAAATCAGGAGGTTGTCGTTCAATTCCCAGTCAGGACACATGCCCAGGTGGGTTGTGACTCGATCCCAATGAGGGGCATGCAGGAGGCAGCTGATAAGTGATTCTCTCCTACTATTGATTATTGATGTCTGTCTCTCTCTCTCTCTCTCTCTCTCTCTCTCTCTCTCTCTCTCTCTTTCTGTCTTCTCTCCTCTCCTCTCCTCTCCTCTCCTCTCCTCTCCTCTCCTCTCCTTTATGAAATCAGTAATTTATATATGTAATTAGGAAAGATAGAATATTTGGTCACAACACACAGTAGCAGTAGAAAGTCACTCTAAAATTACCATTTGAGCTGTGAAACTAAAAAGTGGCACCTGATATACGATGTAGATACAGAAAAACAAAGTCAACCTGGGAATGAAAACTTAAGGGACCAGACAAGGAGGATTGTAGATGATGACACTGGTCGTTCTTGGTTATCGGATTAAAAGTTATGCATTGTCCATATGACATTGATATTAAATTATTTATAAGAAAGTTTAGTGAATTCCTTGTGCCTTCCTTCTTTTCCACATCTTTCATTTTAAATCATTTATATCCTTAAATATTATTTTGAATCTTTCTTAACCATATTTGCATTTAAAGCTATATTCTTATCTCTCTCTCTCTCTCTCTCTATATATATATATATATATATATATTCTTAACCACATTTACATTGTTATTTATATTCATATACAAATATTTTTTTTAATTCTCTTAAACTATAATCACATTTATATCTATATTTTTATGTATACCAATATATCACTAGCTAATTATCCATATACGTCCTATGATGAGAACTCAGAGTTCATGTTATAACTATTCTGTATCTTTAATGGGTAATTTATTCAATATATTTTCCTTATATTAACTGTTTCTAATCTGCATTTCATTCCATAGAAGTATGTTCAGTTCCTCTCAGCTGTTTCCTTTGCAATCTTTATTAATTCATCACTAAAATAATTATTTAAATGTGTGTGTTTTTTAAGTCAGTCAATACTATGGTGAATTATTTGAATTGCTGAAATAGGAGATTTGACTAGCAAAATGCTACCAGAAATGGGATTAATATTGCTTTGCATTTGCAATATTTGCTTTTGTTTTATTCAAGAAATGTTTGAATTATAAAATTCTAGCTGAATGAAAATATTGTATTAGTGTGATAATTAATGTCTAATATAATTAATTTGAAAAATCTTGTCATTCCCATGACATTTTGTGACTATGATTTAGGCATATCACATTAACATTGTATTAGTTCATTATTAAAGGAATTAGAAGTAATGGTATTTGGTTTAAATTACAAATATGAAATATTTATTTTAAGAATCTAAGAACATGAAAATTATGACAATTTTGAGCTAACATTTTAATTTTGATGGTATTTAGGGAATGATTTTCCAGAATAAATAGAGAAGAATTTGTAGCTAAATAATATGTTCATAGAGGCATGTTTCTCTCCTTGAAGTCTGCAAGTTTACTCTCTGGGATCCCACAAGTTTCCACAGCAATCTTGTAAACACTGGCAATAGTTAGAAGTGCATATTATGAGCATATTATGAATGCCCTAACTATGGAGTCTGGATTTGCTTTTGTTGAAGTGTGTTGTGTCATGAGGAGTTATTTAAAATTATTCTGGCTTATGGTTTAATAAATAAACAATCCATTTATACTAAATGAAAGTTAAATGATATATTAAACGTGATACAAAATTTTCACTGGACTCAAAAGGAGAAATGAGTTGGAAAACTTAATCATTTTTATAGAGCCCATGGTTGTATTGTGTTAAACTGTACACTCTACAATAGTTAGTGCCATAACAGCACTATATTTACTCTAGAGGTTTGGTGCACAAAATTTGTGCATGGGGGGCAGGGGTGTCCCTCAGCCCAGCTTGTACCCTCTCCAATCTGGGATCCCTCTCCCAATCTGGGACTGCTGAATCCCAATTGCTTGCTTGCCTGCCTTCCTGATTTCCCCTAACTACTTCTGCCTGCCAGCCTGATCTCCCCCTAACTACTCTCGTGCCAGCCTGATTGCCCCTAAGTGCCCTCTACTGCCTGTCTGGTCACCCCCAACTTCCCTCCCTTGCAGGCCTGATTCTCTCTCCCCCCCCCACCCCCCAATTGGCTGCCCCTGCAGACCTGATTGCTCCTAATTGCC